TGTCGGAAGTGTCCGCTCACGTGTGGTCCGTGGGTCTCATTTTACGTGTTTCTAGCTCCCTGTCACTGTCGGAAGTGTCCGCTCACGTGTGGTCCGTGGGTCTCATTTTACGTGTTTCTAGCTCCCTGTCACTGTCGGAAGTGTCCACTCACGTGTGGTCCGTGGGTCTCATTTTACATGTTTCTAGCTCCCTGTCACTGTTGGAAGTGTCCGCTCACGTGTGGTCCGTGGGTCTCATTTTACGTGTTTCTAGCTCCCTGTCACTGACAGAAGTGTCTGCTCACGTGTGGTCCGTGGGTCTGATTTTACATGTTTCTAACTCCCTGTCACTGTCGGAAGTGTCTGCTCACGTGTGATCCGTGGGTCTCATTTTACGTGTTTCTAACTCCCTGTCACTGTCGGAAGTGTCTGCTCACGTGTGGTCCGTGGGTCTGATTTTACATGTTTCTAACTCCCTGTCACTGTCGGAAGTGTCTGCTCACGTGTGGTCCGTGGGTCTGATTTTAAGTGTTTCTAACTCCCTGTCACTGTTGGAAGTGTCTGCTCATGTGTGGTCCGTGGGTCTGATTTTACGTGTTTCTAACTCCCTGTCACTATCGGAAGTGTCCGCTCACGTGTGGTCCGTGGATATCTGATTTTACGTGTTTCTAGCTCCCTGTCACTATCGGAAGTGTCTGCTCACGTGTGGTCCGTGGGTCTGATTTTACGTGTTTCTAGCTCCCTGTCACTGTTGGAAGTGTCTGCTCACGTGTGATCCGTGGGTCTCATTTTACGTGTTTCTAGCTCCCTGTCACTGTTGGAAGTGTCTGCTCACATGTGGTCCGTGGGTCTGATTTTACGTTTCTAGCTCCCTGTCACTGTCGGAAGTGTCTGCTCACATGTGGTCCGTGGATATCTGATTTTATGTGTTTCTAGCTCCCTGTCACTATCGGAAGTGTCTGCTCACGTGTGGTCCGTGGGTCTGATTTTACGTGTTTCTAGCTCCCTGTCACTGTTGGAAGTGTCCGCTCACGTGTGGTCCGTGGGTCTGATTTTACGTGTTTCTTGCTCACTGTCACTATCGGAAGTGTCTGCTCACGTGTGGTCCGTGGGTCTGATTTTACATGTTTCTAGCTCCTTGTCACTGTTGGAAGTGTCTGCTCACGTGTGGTCCGTGGATCTGATTTTATGTGTTTCTAGCTCCCTGTCACTGTCGGAAGTGTCTGCTCACGTGTGGTCCGTGGGTCTGATTTTACGTGTTTCTTGCTCACTGTCACTATCGGAAGTGTCTGCTCACGTGTGGTCCGTGGGTCTGATTTTACATGTTTCTAGCTCCTTGTCACTGTTGGAAGTGTCCGCTCACGTGTGATCTGTGGGTCTGATTTTACATGTTTCTAGCTCCCTGTCACTGTTGGAAGTGTCTGCTCACATGTGGTCCGTGGATCTGATTTTATGTGTTTCTAGCTCCCTGTCACTGTCGGAAGTGTCTGCTCACGTGTGGTCCGTGGGTCTGATTTTACGTGTTTCTTGCTCACTGTCACTATCGGAAGTGTCTGCTCACGTGTGGTCCGTGGGTCTGATTTTACATGTTTCTAGCTCCTTGTCACTGTTGGAAGTGTCCGCTCACGTGTGATCTGTGGGTCTGATTTTACATGTTTCTAGCTCCCTGTCACTGTTGGAAGTGTCTGCTCACATGTGGTCCGTGGATCTGATTTTATGTGTTTCTAGCTCCCTGTCACTGTCGGAAGTGTCTGCTCACATGTGGTCCGTGGGTCTGATTTTACGTGTTTCTTGCTCACTGTCACTATCGGAAGTGTCTGCTCACGTGTGGTCCATGGCTGCTTGGCTGGACAGTATGGTTGAATGTAAAAGCAATGTGTTTCCCGATTTCAGTCTCATTTTTCAAGATGAGTCCCAAGCAGATTTTCCATCACTGTCAGTTGAGACGTTTTGGTCCCCATTTTAAGTGAGTTTGCTTTATGGAGTCTTTTTTCTAGTACCGATCGTACTTGAAATAACCAGTTGCTGTTGGTTTGTCTTAGTATTGATTTCTACCCATTTCCAGAATGGATTAGAACCAGCTTAGAGTAAAAGGCACAGACTCAGCAAATTCTTTTTTTTAAAATTTTATTATTCTTTATTATTAGCAAATTCATTATTACAAATCGTGATTTTTCTTCATGCCCTTTCCCCGACTTATCACTCCCCAAACCCCCTCCCACCCTCCCTCCATCTCTAGTGTCCTTAGCTTTGTTCTCTCCTGAAAGGTCAACACATTCTTGTGGTTCTTTTCTTTTCTTTTTCTTCCTTCCCTGCCTCCCTCTCTCCCTTCCTTCCTTCTAGCAAATTCTAAACCAGGATTGCACCATACATCCCTGAGGTTGTGCAGTGTGGAATCCCCACCCGACAATTAAACCAGGACTAAGGAGTTGATGGGGCGGCAAGTGAGCAGCCAGGCTGAGTGCATGCAGGACATGGCTGCCGCATGCCATGGGGTCAGCTGGAGTGTCCTGATGGACAGGGCTGAGGAGGGACCTAGCACAAGAGCCTCAGCAGAGGAGAACTTGAACGGTGGCTCGCATGCTTCTGTAATCCTCTTGTCTTCTGTTGCAGGTGATGCTGACAGCCATCCCGTCCTTCCTGAACTGTTTTAATAGATTGGTGTTCTCAGTTATGCACGAAGGGCGGCAGAAAGACACAGGTAACTCAGGAACGGTGTCAGATGTGTTTACCACAGTTTCAGGTGTATTTACCCTGCAGCATCTCTGGCCACGTATGTCCCTGAAAATAAAGCTATTTAGTCGAGTTTAAATAAGAGAAATGTGTCGCTTTGCCTCACATGGATTTGTCACCCCTTTTCCCCTGGGTGATGGAGCCGCTAAAAGGATTACTCAATGCCCATTTCTTCCAAGCAGTGAGAGACCCCGAAGGGGTTAATCTCCCGGAACCCTCAAGAGAGAGGCATTCCTTCCTTGGGAAATTAACCTCAAACTGGGTTTCTCGCCCTGCATTTATTCTCCAGACCAGGAAGTTACAGGAAGAGAGCATAGGTGGGGTTATAGTTTAGCGATAGAGGCTGCTAACTTTCAGTGAAAAAAGCCAGGTGACATTCCATAATGCAGTTTGCAAAAGGTTAAGTCGATCCACCAACAAAAGTTTGATCTTAGCAAATACTGTTATTCCTTACAGCAATTTCCCCAGTATTTTACATATCAGTCAAGTAACTTGTCTGTCCTTGAGCCAGCAACTTTGCTGTGTTACAAAGACTTTAGCCTGAGGAAAGTTTCCTGTCTTTTGCAATGTTAACATTTCTATGTGTAATTCCAAAAGGTTAGGCTAAACCAGAGACTACAGGGCTTTGGAAAATAGGCCCTGTGAAATACGTGTGCTTTATAAATGTTGGTATACTCCACAGAAATGTTCAGTTCATCAAATGAATATTCAAAGTAATTTTTTAAAAATTTCAAACTGTCACATTTTACCATATCCAAAATCACAGGTACATCTGGCATCACCTAATTGAAATTCTGGGGGGGAAGGTATCTAGATTTAAGGAATATTTATTGATATTGAGCATATGTATCATATAAAGGGGATATAAAAATGACAGCAACCCCATTCCTGCCCTTAACAAGTTGATAGTTTCTTGGGACAAGAGGAACCGGCAGGTGAAAGCCGTCTCCTTTCATAAGAGCACCCGATCCAGCCTGATCTTGGCAAGGTTGTGTTACCAGTGAAACACAAGCCGCCATGCAGCGACAGCATGTGTATCACTCCGTTTCTGTTGTTTATAACAAAATACGTGGACCTTGGTGATTTATAAGAAAGCCAGATTTGAGGCTGGAAAGTCCAAAGTCCAGGAAACACATGGGGTAAGGGTCTTCTTTGGTGGTGGCTTTATAGCAACCACATGACAGAAAATGGCAGAGCAGAGAGTCTATGTGTCCCTGACCATTATTAACCCATTCACCACAGCACGGTCCTGTAATCTTATCACCTTCCCAAGGCCCCACTTTTCAGTGACCATAATAGGATTTCCCACGCTCCTTACACAGTCACAGTGGGGCCAAGTTTCTAATGCATAAGACTTGGGGGTCACAATTCAAGCTTCAGTGAGTTTCAATCCACTACATTCTGCCCCTGGCCCCCAAAACTCATGTCCTTTTCACATGCAGATATAGTCATTTCATCACCACAGTCAACTTGTTTCAACTCAAAGCTCCTAAGTCCCATCTATGAATTAAAAACAAGTTATCTACTTCCAAAGTACAATGGTGGGACAAACATAGGGTATGTATTCCCATTCCAAAAGGGAGAAATAGGCCACAAGAAAGGGGTTAGGGGTCGTAAGCAAGTCCAAAACCCAGCAGGGCAGGCATTAAATCCCAGAGCTGGTGAATCATGTACCTTGACTCCATGTTCTATGTCCTCGGCACACTGGGGTTGGGTCCCTGTGTCCTCGGGCAGCTCTGCTCTGATGGCCTTCCTGGTCTCAGGCCACACTTCAGCTCTTGCAGGCTGGCATTGCACACTGGTAGCTGTACAGGTCTGGGATCTCTATGGTGGTTCTGCTCCCATGGCTCCACTAGGCATTGACTTGGTGAGGTTTTTCTGCTGCAACTCCAACCCCACATTTCCTCTCAATATTGCTGACTCTGCCCTTGTGACAGATCTCTTCCTGAGTCCCCAGAATTTTCCATGCATCCTTTGAAATTAGGGTGGAGGCTCCAAAGCCTTCAGAGCCCTGGCATTCTGCAAGCCTGCAGACCTAACACCTCGTGGATGCCGCCAAGTCTTCCAGTTTGTATCTTCCAAAGTTGTGGGTCCAGCCATACCTGGGGCCAATTCCCTTTGTTTTGTAGAGAAATATTTAGACATATCTTTTCTCCCTTATCATATCTGCAAAATAAGCCAATTAAAGAGTCTGAAAAAGATGGAAGGTTTGAGATGATCTCCAACTGTATCGCACTGTTGTGGAACTGATCAGAGGGCCTCTGTTCTCTGTAGGAAGCACGGATGACCTGCCCATGGTCGTGGAGTGCGCACGCCTGGTGGAACGGATGTACAGCCACATCGCCGCACGAGCCGAGGACTTCACCGTGTTTTCCCCTTTTATGGTGGCCCAGTACGTGACGGAGGTGCAGAAGGTAACACTGAGTGCTTTCATGCGTGGTCCTTTGGCAGCACTGCTGTGGGGTCGCTGTCAGGACCAAGTGACA